ATTTCATGGCTGTAGTCACCATCTGCAGAGATTTTGGAGCCCAAGAAATTAAAGCCTTCACTGTTTCCATTATTTCTCCATCTATATGCCAAGAAGTGATGAGTAAGCACCATTTTGCTGACAATCACCTGTAGGCCATACACATGCGAGCTCCCTTCCCTCTCCACAGCCCTGTCTTCTACCACCCACCTACTGCCTCCTTGGAGTTCTTTGAATGCTCTGAGCATGTGCCTACCTCTTGACCTTTGCACTTCCTCATCCCTTGCCTGGAATATTCTTGCTCCTTCTACGAGCATGACTGTCCTGCTGGCCTCTTCTAGAGTTCTATCCAAGTGTCACTCTATCCCCAGGCCCTCATCAAATCCCCAATTTAAAGTGTCACCACATATACTTCTCCCAGTTCCAAACCCCCAATTTGCTGTAACACTTACCACCTGACACAACTTTATATTTTACTAGTTTATTTTATTTTATTTTTTGCTATCTTTCTCCATTAACAAGACTATGAAGCCCAAGAGGGCTTGCATTTTCATTTAGTTTGTTCACTACTGTATCCCCAGGGCCTAGAGCATTGCCTGACAATGGGTATTTAAAAAACTGCTAAGTGGATGAATTCATGAATGAACCCAAAAGAACTGAGCATTTACTATGCCAACTATTTGCATGATAAGAGATGTTTAGAGTGAAGAAAGAAGTAACCCAACAATCACAGCTCTGTTGGTAAATTCTGGGAAGAAGTGCAGTCATAAGGGTACTTTGGAAAACAAAAGAAGGGGACCTAGCCCTGAGAGGGGCTGCCCTGAGTTCTGAATTATGTAATGGGTGGAGAAGGGAAGACCAGAGAGAAAAGGGCCATTAAAGGAACAGACAGCCAGAGAGCAGAGGTGTAGAGATGAGAAAGCATGGCTTTTTCAACTGAGGAAAGGTATGAACCTGAAAGCCTTTTAAGAAAGGTCCCTCAGGCATCACTATGCAGAAAGGGCTGAAGAAGACTAACAGCACGGTGGCTTTTAGCTGGGTATGACATTAGCTTAGCTAAGAGAGATGAGGGTTGAACAAGAGCAGAGCAATGCTGCTGAAGAAGAGGGTGAACTGGAGAATGTTCTCAGGTTAAGTATCTAGAGGAGTAAAAGATCACCCTGAAGCCCGACTAACCCACCATTTGGTAAAGGCAATCACTAAATGGAAAGCACAGTATTCCTTTAACTTACTTGGCTGCCATTTTTATACATAATATTTTATATAATCTTTAAAAATGGAATCTAGCGGGGCGGGAAAAGGAAAGAGAATCAGTGCACTGTATAATTTGCTTGTTTATAACTTTTCGCTTGTCATCACTCTCCATAGTCTTTTCTGAAGGAACATGAAAACTTAGGTGCCAACATTTATATGCAGATGAGTGATGCTATTACTCCACACTTAGAAGTTTTCAGTGGCTCATTTGATTCTTATGTTTTGAATAGTTATGTTCACTATGCAAGATCCTTTAATGAAAAAAGCTCATACATTCTGACCAAAAGCTTATGTCAAAGTGAGTATATTTTAGGATATAGTTTAACACTTCTAGAATTGAACTTAAATATAATTTATCATATTGAGATTCTGAATGTTACACAATTTTCAATCTTTAGATAAGGATAAAGAAATGATAACAGAAAATAAAAGAGACTAGATTATTCTCATATTAATTGATTGTTTACAAAGTAAATGCAAGCATAAAAGTGCCCGCCAAGAAAATACTTAAGAAAAGAACAACTCATTGATTGATAAAAATGAACTAAAAGATTGACTCAGTTTTGAAAACTATTTGATTCAAGCTTTTAAGACATGGGATGACGATAATGGATTTATTTTAGAAACCTTAGAATATGAGAACAGTTTTAATTTTAGGAATAATAGGAAACACTAGCTTGACTGGTGAATAATGAATTTATGAGTCTTCATCCAAGTCATTATTCAGGCTAAGAATATAAGTAAGTTTATGAAAAAGTAGATTAGTCAGTCAGTGGTTCCATGGCATTTGCTCACTGTTTTATAAATTTGTATTTATACCAGAGGCCACAAAACTACTCAGATGCAGACATCTTAACCAACTGCTAGCAATATACCCTAATTTCAAAGTCAATTTTTGATCAATGAAGCTTTCATTGATTGGTAAGCCTAAATTTAATAACCACAGTGCCACAGATATATAATGGTGCATACTCAAAAAATATATACGTATGCAAAATACTGATCAAAATAGCTACCTGGGTGTGTGTGGGTGTCTGTACTTACTTGAATGCATGTCTGTGTCTTATATTCAACACTGCTTTTTCCTAGTTCCCTTCTAATAATAAATGACACTATCTTTGGCTTGCAACCATTTTTCCTGCCAGCACGATCACAAGAGTATATGCATACTTTTGGTAGCTGAGGATATATCCTTGGCAGCATAGTTATGAAAATCTATAAGATATTTATTTACAATTCAAAATTAATGCTACATCTTAAAACCACTTTTACTTTTGGAGTTTAGCACAAATGGCAGTAGTTTTCTAACAGTGAGAAAACATGATTTTTATAACCTCCTTTGACTTTTATTAAGTATTGTATTAAAATATGCAACTAGTAAGATTTCAAAGATTTCAGAGCTGTGAGCAGTTTTTCTAAATCTCTGACTTACTGTGATCATGCAACAAAGACAAAATTAGAAAATACCAGATATGTTCATCTCTAGTTAAAACATCTGATTTAAAATTTGCTCTTATTTTCATCTGAAAATTTCCTTTCCAGGGTTATATGTCAATGTACAAAATGTCCAATTTAATGAACAGTATTCTTTCAAGTGGCAGTTAGGTTTAAAAGGGGAAACAAACCTTTTTGAATTGAACATATACATTCTCAGTCTAAACATTGAATTAATGTACTTTTTGTTATATGATTTCCTTTTCAACATCAACATTTTAACAAGTGAAATACTCTGGAGACACTTGGAAAAATGGAATCCTAGACAATGATGAAACCCAAGTCTTTTCTTCACTCTCAAATCTCCTATCACTGCAACTTCCAGATTCTGCCTTTACTTAGCATTAACATTCACTTCCCAAACAATTTACCCAAGTGAGGAAATGATTACACATGTTTATGTGCTAAGTGGAAGGAACCCATGCAGAGCAGGAGGCTCTGATATGGTTACAGAGATAATTGATTGAGAAAGATCCCTGAGGATGGAGGCAAGGATGGATCCCAGAGTCTATGGATGCCTCTGCCCTGTGGGAGGAGAGCATCTTTCCCCACTGATATAGTAAGGAGAGCCACATGGATTTGAGTTGATGAGAGACATGATGTTGGGAAATTTATTCCTAGAGACTTCGTTTTCTCTGCAAAATCTAAAACAGAGAATTTTAAATTGAAGGAGTAAGATAAGTGAAGAGAAAGTCAGACCATGTGGATATATGAGATAACACGTTCATTAAGAAAATGGTTGGTTGAGTAAATCAAAAGGGAAGATATATGGCAAAATGTTCATTGTTACATATAAGTGTAACATGTAAGTGATGAATACATAGGTGTAGATTATATTACTTTTCCTACCCTTTATCATGCTTTAAACTTTTTATAATAAAAAGGAAAAAAGAAAAAAATTTCACTTTCTTTCAGTTCCTAAGCTAGTAGGCCGGTATTAATTTTTCATATGTCTGAACATTCCATCTCCTTGCCTCTATTCTGAGTCAATAAAGCTACATCCTACATTTTTTTAAAAAGGAATATATAAAGGTGATATTGCACAGTGCACTTTCAATAACCTAAGCCTTATTATATGAGGAAATTGTTAGTCTTCCTGAGGATTGCAAAATAATTTACGAGGAACAGAGTCTCTGAATGTTCTTAAACATTGTGTATTTTTAATTAAAAAATTATGCATGACCAATTCTCCCTCTAGTTACCATTCTCTTGCTTTATGTTAGAGTCCAAATGCAAGATGCTGATTAACTGAAATGTCACACATTGAAAATAAGTTAGCCATTAAGTGTAACGGAATAAAGGGCTTTTTATTAATACATGGAATGATGGAGGATCTGTAACTTTGTTAAAATACACTGACGTTAAAAGCATTTTTGAAAGAATTGGAAGAAAAGTGCTTAATATTTTCATTTAAAAATAGACCTCAGTAGTCAGAATTATAGCTCTCATTGTGCTCTTTTCTACCATCTCAAAGAATGCCTTGCTCTAAATAAAGCCAACAGATCCCGAACATTGACTTGGCGGTCAAAGAACTCTAAATCTCAGAACTGCCACATTTCCATTTTAAATGTAAATATTCCCATTCATCTTCCTAAATATTATATTTCTTCTCCCCCCTTCCTCCCACCCCAGTGTCATAGTTTATGCAACAGCTGACAGCATCTTTTGTTCCCTTTTATGGTGCACACTAGTTGCCACAATTGACTTTGGCATCCCCTAGCTTGGAAACAAGTTTTTGTGCAGGTCGATTGGCCACATTTCATAAGAGGAAGAATAGAACAAAAAACGTTTCTTCATAATGCCATTCAATGATTTCCTTTGCAAATCTGCTTCCTGAAGTTTTGCAGATGCAGAAGTCATAGAACAAGTCGGTGGGCTGGGAACTGCATTGCATTTTTAGTGCTTCTAGAAGCAACATCTCCAGCCTTTTAAATGAGAGTGAAGTGATGGATTTGCAGGTATTTGAAGAAACAGATGCCCTGGAAGGGCAAAGGTTACTTTTATAAATTAATTTATAGTTGATTTACAATGTTGTGATTCTTTTTTTTAAAAGAAAAAATCAGGATCTTACTGCATAACATTTTTCAAAAGAGAACAAGAGAGAAGAAAAGACCCATTGTGTACTTCCAACCAAAAATTCTCATTTTCCTTGATGTACACAACATCGGCATATTTCAGCAAAGAGAACCTTATAGAATAGGACAACTTTAATCGGTCATTTAAGTTTAAAATGGCTGCAATATTATGTTAATTGAATTGTTTTTCTTTTTTAGGGTCCTCTGGGGCCTCCAGGACAAAAGGTAGAGTATAAACAATATTGTGAATGTAATTATATCCCCATCGCCTAATGACTGACCTGAGAAGGGAACGGAATTAGCTACTGTGAGCCATACCGAGGTAGTCTGGTTTGTGCATTCTGCTTTCTAAAAATACAATCATATAATGTGAGCCATTAGATTTCTAATTGACTCCATTATAGAAAGTCCAATAAATCCAGAGCAGACTTTTTTTAAGCTGTCTGCCAAACTTGTAGGTTATTGAGTTTTTAATTCCAGTACTAGTAAAACATCGTGACAAAACTTAGAATCTGAAGGATCATAAGACATTGCAAATTAAATGCATGGTCTTGCACAAATATATGATTGTCAAAGGACCATTAAACAGACTAGAACAAAGAATGTATTTGTTGCTTGGTGGCTATATTCAAGTGGGCCACTAGTATCTCCCTTTGCTGAAGCAACCCAAAAAAATGGCTTCCCAATTGTTATTTCAACATTATCCAGAGCCATCAGACTTGACCCTTTACATTTTGGAGAAGAGAGTCTAACACTTCTAAAATTACCTCAGTTCTACAGTAGTAAATGCATCAATAGCAGGTAGATAGCCCTTTGCAAACAAAACATCACTAAACCCCCACTCCCCATCCACCTCCCACGCTACAAGGAGGACATAAAAGGATATTTAACCTGCAGGAAACCAAAAAAAAAAAAATAATAATAATAATAATTGCATTACAACAGGTGGAAAAGTGATTATCCTTTATCTTTGGAATCCATCAAAGATAGAGACGTTCATCCCCCAAGCTTGTGCATGTGGCATCTGTTGAAACATGATCCCACAAACCAAGTAAAAGCCAGCGTGTAGTGAGACTACTTGTGTATAGGAACACTTTGTCCTTCGCAATAATGTCTCTATTAAGTATGGTGTGAAATTGTAAAGCTACCCTAATCCACATGCTACCAGGATAAAATTACTGCCTCAGGCTTTGGGAAGTCCTTTAATGACCCACTCAATACAATCACCAAGAAAGACTAAGGAACTTGCCATCTCAATTTTTTTTTGCATGAAATGACTATATTTTTAATAGAGTTTATTTTTTAGAGAAGTTTTAGATTTCTGATTACTATTTTAATCTTTTCCATTATTCTTTAAAAATTTTAATATCACACATCTACTAAGAAAAATCTGTTTCATAGTGCTAAACAAAAAATAAGCACATTCTATTTGAAAAATTATTTCTCCAGAGCCTCACCAGAAGGTGTGTGGAGGAAAATGACATCACTATTTGAAAACATTTGTTAATGTTTTTGTATCTAGTTAAATGTCAGATTTTCTCAGGTAGTGACTACTTTTCTTTTCTGATGCCCAGTCATTCTCATCACCCCAGTGCTCATGTGTGCACACATCCAAGTGCATGTGCATACACACACAGACGACATAATATTCAATGTATAGAACTGGTATCGTTCCTAGTCTATGCACACCATTTGCGGCACCCTGCCTAGTCCACTTTGGAAGATATATTCACCCTCACATGGTTTAAACATACTCCCTGAGTCTGAGGGAAATGCTTCAAATACAACAAATTTCACTTTATTTATGGTATTTAATTTTATTTATTTTATTTTATGGTATTTAATTTCATGAAATTCAAGAGTTACTGGTACAGCTAACCTTTTTTGAGATGAAACTAAGCCTATTTAATTCTCAAAAGCACCCAAATTTGGAGCCATGAGGCCTTCTGATAGCTTTGGATCTCAATTTATGCTGTGAAATTCTTTAAAATCTTATTAGGGTAAGTAAATATTTACAAACATGGTGAGATTTTCATGGCTTCTGGAAAAGCTTGATGAGTCTGTTTACATTATTGTGTGTTAGAACACAGTGGATGAAATCTGAAAAACATAGCCTGTCAGATATGTTTTAGTAAGATAAAGTTGTAGCTGACATAATTAATATGACATAAATTTAGAATTGAATTATTTTGTGCTTATGATGTTAACTTATTTTAATCATACATCTCCTTAGGGTTCTGTTGGAGTACCTGGAATTCCGGGGATGAATGGACAAAAAGTGAGTTCCATAGAATATACTGCTTTTGATCATTTGGGGAGGATTAAATCACAAAGTTGTTCTAATCAGTAATGTTGGTAATAAGTTTATATGCTTATAAAAATTTTATATATACTTTTGAAATGTAGGAAAATTATGTTGCAAATGATCAAATTATTTTAATTTTTAAATGAATGCATTAAATAGCGAAAAACTCTTAGACAATTTTTTATTTTATTTGATATATATGAGATACAGTGGTATGTTTCTCATAAATATATTTGGAGTAGGAAAAATACAGTACTTAACATTGATTGTGATAAAGTGCACTCTGGTTTATTCTTGTTATGGCAGACTAATATATATTATTTCTTGCATTAACGAAAGTTATTCCTACAGAGAGATGCTATTGGAATCATGAATTCACATGCAAGCTTTTTTTACAGCTAAGCAAAATTAAGAATTAAATAGATTTGCTAAGCTCTGGTAGCATGCTTTTATTGTACTATTAATAATGAAGGGGGAAAAAAGTAAAAGAAAACAACCCACAGCTCTAAACAGACATATCTATTGCCTGTGTGCACTTTTTCCTGCAACATACTTGCCAGTGGGACAAAGCAATTACCAAAGTCACTGCGGGCCAGTCTGCCAGGGGCCGGAGAGCTGAGCCAGGGACTTTCCTATCTCCCTCTGAGCTTCTGAGCTGGCCCTTTGCGATCCTGCGACCCAACTTGTCTTCCCAGAGGACTTGAAATCCAGGCATTCTGAATTGAAATCATAAAGGGCCCAGCCCTTATGGACAGAGTAGACCTCCTCTAGCTCGTCCATCTTTTTTCTCCAATGAGACACAGACAATAGCAATCTAAAACCTACGAAGTGGCTAAGAACGTGGATCTTCAGCTCAGAGAATGTAAATTTTGACAGAGTCCTTGAATCCTCTGGCCTCAATTTCTTCATCTTTAAAAAGGAGACAAACAATTCCTACCTCATAAGGTTACTGTGAGGATTAAATGAGGAAATAGGCATAACACCCTTATGTCCATGTCTGATATTGCTATTAAACTTTTTCTTCAGCTCATTTTAGTGAAATCCTGGATATTTGATTGACCTCTGTTGTAAGAGACTCTCTGTTTCCAGAATTCCTTGATTCCCAAGTAAAATTAATGTTCTTAACTAAATCTTACGGCAGCCTGTGGTCCATAAATCCAGCACTGGGCACTCGTCAGCAGTACAATGCCCGTGTTACTGCCCTGTTTTCCCCTTAGTAAAATGCATACCTGTTTGCTTCACAGATCCTGATAAAGACAGAGGATTAATATTCCATTTAGAATATTGTAGATCATGGAGGGAAACAGAAGTAAAAATTTGAGAGCATATTCATTCTTTGTGGAGAAGGCAATGGCACCCCACTCCAGTATTCTTGCCTGGTCAATCCCATGGACGGAGGAGCCTGGTGGGCCGCACTCCGTGGGGTCACAAAGAATCATACACGACTGAGCGACTTCACTTTCACTTTTCACTTTCATGCATTGGAGAAGGAAATGGCAACCCACTCTAGTGTTCTTGCCTGGAGAATCCCAGGGACGGGGGAGCCTGGTGGGCTGCCGTCTATGGGGTCGCACAGAGTCGGACACGACTGAAGTGACTTAGCAGCAGCAGCATTCATTCTATGATGAATTTGAAAATTACATAACAGGATAATATTTAGAAAGGACAAAATATAGATATAACGTAAATGTTGTTTTTAATATTTGTACACATAAGGCTAATGTTTCACTTTTACTTCTTTGTTTCTTTTTCAACTTTGAGATAATCATGAAAATTTATAGAAAACTTTACCCTGAAACAAAACAAGTCCACAAGTTTAAAACTGTCATATATATGCTTATGAAGACTGCATATTCTTTCTTTTTCCAAAAGAAGTATGCAATTTCCTTAGCAAGAGAAAGGAATGTGACATTTTCTTGTCCTAGTCATCAAGTTTAAATTATATTTCAAGGAAATAGCTAATATTTGTAGTTTTATATCTTGTTATACATCTTTGTGGCATTTTAAAGGGTTTTCTGTAAAATCTAGGAAAGCTAAATGATTTCATACTTTTATGAAGGTGTCAGCAAAATGTAGTTCAAGATTTTTTTAAAATTCATATAACTTAACCAAAACTTTGTTTATAGAATTTCTTTTAATGATAGCTATTATCTAACACCTGTAATATTTGCTATATCATCTTTAGGACAATAAAATACAAAAAAACCTAACTCTACATCACTGAAGTAACAGGACATTCGACAGTAAAAACAGAGTGGAAAATAGAGTAATATCGATATTTTACACTTAGAACTATGAACTTTGCCTTGGTTCTCTAAAATTTGTTTCTAGAAGGAGAGCCTGGAATCACATTAATAATTTTTTAAGTACCTTGATGTTCTTAAGCTTCAGAGAAAATATCTTCTTTGCATGATACAATTTCATTTTTTCCCAGAGAAGTACTTTTGATGCCTAGATCATTTTCAAGTACTGGATATCCTCCAAGGATATCCTTCAAGGAAGGATATTATTTCTAAGCTATCAGAAACATGGCAAATAACTAGAAAATTTTTAGAAACTTCTCTATTATAAGAGAGAAAGAAAATGACTATATTAAGCAAATATTTTACTTGTCTTCCACTAAAATATTTTCCATCCATTCAGATTGAGGTGATTGATTTTGGCCAGTAGCTTGATGGTGATTTTTTTTTTTTTAACATTATTTTCCTTTCAGTTTTGGCAACTCGATTGTTAATCTGAGTATTTCTTATTTTTGTAATGGTCCTCCAATTCTTCAGATCATATTAGGAAAACAGACTTACAGAAGCAGTACCATGGCATTAAACTCCAGTTTAGCCCCTTCTAGCCTAATAATCCATCAAGGGCTACTAAACACCCTTCTGTGAAAAGTGGGAGACAGTGTGGTATGTGGTCTCTGCAGTCTGAGAGAGGAGGCGTCAAGTCTTTCTCCTCCTTTGTGTGAGTTACTTAATGTTTCTAAGGCTCCAGTGCAAAATATTAATATAGACTTTGCAATATTAACTAGCTAATATGTCTAAAGTGAACATAATGTAATAGGTGCTCAATAAATATTATCAACTGTCTGTAGTATTAATAGTATAACACTTGAAGAATTTCAACAAATGAGCCCTAGGCTTACCCTCTAACAGGACAAGAAGCCAGGAAGAAGATGAAGGTGTAAACTCACACAGGAAGGTAAAATACTTCTCTGCTACCTGCTATGTCTCCAGTCGTAATGCACCCATTCCCAATAGTGGGAATACAAGTACCATAGAAAGGAGAAAGACATTTCTCACACTGCTTTGAAAGCTCACTCACCGGTGTGGGTTCTTGTAGGAGTGCTGTCTGGAGTCAGACACTCTGCGCTCTTCCGCCTCATGTGCAGCCTGTGAAACTTCTTCCTATATGGGCTCAAGGTGGCTTCATTGTAGAGTGAGAGAAGGTGCAGTTCTAATTAATATCTAAGTCTCTAAGACATACTGTGCATCCACAAAAAGTCACAGGTGTCTCTTTTCCATGCTCTGTTCCCAATTCTAAAAGCAGTTGTTTCCATAATTTGAACTTGTTTCCAATAGCCAAAGTAGTTAGGGAAAATTTAATGCTAGGTCTTACCTAAAAAGAAATAAATGTTGCCTTCTTTGCCTCTGGCTAATTTATTTAGCACAGAAACTTTTGTAATTCTCACAAATAGATCTTGTTAGTTAAAATATATTATAAAAATTTTATTTATGCTATTGGGTTCATTCCCCCTCTCTCACACACACACACACAAACACACACACTCAGGCACATAATACATACATGTAAAGATACGTAACTGCATGTGTGCATGCTCAATCGTGCTCAACTCTGTGTGACCACATAGACTGTAACCCTACCAGGCTCTCTGCCCATGGAGTTTTGCAGGCAAGAATACTGGAATGGGTTGCCATTTCCTACTCCAGGGGATCTTCCAGACCCAGGGATTGAACCTGCACCTCTTGCATCTCCAGCATCTCCAGCATTGGCAGACAACTTCTTTACCATTGTGCCACCTGGGAAGCCCATATAACTGAATGTTTGTCAACTAAACTCTGCTTCTCAGATATATTGGAAAGTGGGCTTCAAAATAATTTTGTGGTAAAATTTTTTTTAGACTAAATAATGTTCGACACAATAAATGGCTGGTTGAATTTTTTTGTATGTATATATATATATATATATATATATATATATATATATATATATATGTATATCTCAGAACTTTAAAAATCTCAACTCTTAACATGTTATTAGAACCCTGAATTTTTCTACTGTTTCCACGTTTTCACATTAGTAATAAATCATCATAATAACAACGTATTTGAATAGCAAGCAGTGCCCAGCACTGTGCAAATGCCACAGGAGAAGAGAACTAGGGATAATGAGGGAACATTACAGGTCTACTTTGTGCAACCCTTAGTTCACATCCTTATCTCTGTTACCATAAAATTAACATTAAAGAGTTTCAGGATTAGGAACAAATTATTTTGTCTAAGCAGGCTAGAATTTTTCTGAGGACCCAGAATCATAGGGATTGTTTCCAAAGCAAAAGATAAGTATTGGATGATCTTGTTTCATGTATTTTTCAAATGCTTGCTAGGGTTTATTATATCTAAAACTTTAAATACAATATAAATAAAATATTGATGTTAATATATCATCCATGAATCTATCCCAGATAACTATGTTATTTTTTTTAGTAACATTAAAATTTAATTAGTTTATGGCTATGGTATTTAGAGTTCCTTTTCATCTCTTATCCATGAGTCTCACAGTTTTTCACTGACATTAATCCTCACAGCATACATCTAATGACATTTTTATTGTAAGTATATTTAGAGAGCAGATAAATGGAAGCCCTCAGACTTTCAAAGGTCAAGCTGTTTGTTCGTCTATACAGTAAGCTGCATACAATGAACTCAATACTTTTTTATTCCTGATTCATTTTCTGC